GGGGTTCCTGTGAGCAGTGGCCCCAAGTTCACATTTACTCACATTCTTGTTGTAATTCTGAGTTTCATATTTTTTTAAACTTTTATTTTCTGTGTATAAGTATATTACCTGCATGCAGGTGGTGCACCCGTGTTATGCAATGCCTGAGGTCAGAAGAAGATGTCAGATCCCACAGAACTGGAGTTACAGATGGTTGTTAGCCACCATGTGGGTGCTGGGAATTGAACTCCGGTCCTCTGCAAGAGCAGCCAGTGCTCTTAACTGATGAGCTGTCTCTCCAGCCCCTGCTTGTTTTTTGAGACAAGGTTTTTTGTGTCTCTGTGTGTATGCTCTGTCTGTATGCCACATGTGTATATTCTCTCTCTCTCTCCTCTCTCTCTCTCTCTCTCTCTCTGTCCTTGGAGGCCATGAGAGGATGAGGATGTCAGATCCATTTTTTGTGTCTCTGTGTGTATGCTATGTCTGTATGCCACATGTGTATATTCTCTCTCTCTCCTCTCTCTCTCTCTCTCTCTCTCTCTCTCTCTCCCCTCTTTCTCTCCCTCAGACAGTCCTCCCTTATTCTGCACCAGTTAGGGTTAGGGTGCCCTGAATTTTCCATTATTTTCCCATTTTTCACTCCATAACAGCTGTCTCTTACTATCCTCATCTCTTGAGCTCTTTCTTTTCCCTATCTCCATGATTCTTTTCCATTTTCCTAATTCCTGAAGTTACATCAGGATATATACTCACATTTAAGGATGTAGAACTAGGATTGACATGAGAGCAAACATGCATGGCTTGTTTTTCTGTCTGGGTTACCTCCCTTAGTATAAGTTTTAGGTGACAGGCCTTGTGTGGAAGTCAGAGGACAGCTTGTAGGAGTCAGTTTTCTTCTACCATGTGACTTCTGGGGATTGAGCTCAAGTGGTCAGACTTTGTGAAAGTGCCTTTATTTGCTGAGCAGTCTTGCCAGTGCCATGCATTGGAGCTGTAAGGTGGAGGTACACAAGGGGTGGTGGGGATGGGGCTGTAATCTGGCCCTTCCTGAGGTCTGGAGACAAATGCAGATCCCAGGCTGGAGGGACGTGTCTGGCACCCTCATTCACCACCATGCCCCAGTGTGAACTCCAAGAGTTCCAGGATATTCCAAGAGCTCAGCCCCAGTACCAGGCACCCAGTACCAGGGACTCTGATATCATTCTTTGCACTGAAAGTCATGTAGCAGATTCACAGAGTGCTTGTTGAAATGCATGAGGCTGTGGGTTTGATCCCTCGAACCATATAAACAGGTCATGGTGGCACACACCTGTCATCCCAGCTCTCTGGAGGTGGAAGAAAAAGGATCTGAAATTCAGGGTCATCTTTGGCTATATGGTAAGCTGAAGGCCAGCCTGGGATATGTGAGAGTCATTTTAACAAATTCTGAAATTGTAGACTAAAAATAGTTAAAGAGGTCAGATGTGGTGGCACAGTCCTTCAATCCTAGCACCTGGGAGGCAGAATAGGCAGATCTATGAGATCAAGTCCAGCCTGGTCTTTGTAGCGAGTTCCAGGCTGGCTGGGACTACAGGGAGACCCTTCCTCAAAAAACCAAACACACACACACACACACACACACACATGCCATGCTTGACCAAGGAGTAGCATTCCCTTAATGGGCCTTAACAAATACTGTTACACTCACCCTCCCCCCTTTCACAGGATATTCTGAATTCTAGGAGAGCAGTTTTCTCTAGGGAGAAAACATTATTTCTCTTTCTGAAAATCAGTGTTATTGGGGCTGGAGAGATGGCTCAGTGGTTAAGAATGTGCTGCTCTTACAGAAGACATGAATTTGGTTCCCAGCACTCAATGTTGGGTGGTTCACAACTCCCTGTATCTCCAGCTCCAGGGGAATCTGATGCTTCTGGCCTCCAAGGCCATCTGTACTCAGGTGCACATACAAATAGTTAAAAATAGGGACTGGAGAGATGACTCAGCATTAAAACCACTGGCTGTTCTTGCAGAGGACCTGGGTTCAGTTCCCAGTACCCACATGGCAGCTAACCACCATCCATAACTCGAGTTCCAGGGAGTCTGATGCCCTCTTCTGACCTCTGTGGGCATTGCACAACACTGATGTACTTACGTGCAGGCAATACGCTCATACACATAAAATAAAAATAAAATATATAAAAAATTTAAAAATAATAATAATTGTGTTGCCAGAAAATGGGAGGTAGAGTCCAAAGCTGTTTATATTGGGGAGCGGCTTCAGTGGCCTCCAAATCCTCTGTCTACTAGCTGCCTAACAACCCCTCTCCACAAGTCCAAGCACTCACGCCTTTTAATTCTACATTCATTTGACCCCTTACTGCACCCAGCTCTGCTGTTTACTACATATGGACATACGTCTTACCATCCCTATCTTCCCTCGAGGGCGTGTGGTTGAGTAAGTCTAGGCTAGCTGTTTCTCCTGGATTGTTCAGCTGAGAACTATCACAAGGGACTGGATGAACCTGAAATGAGATATTAGTCCTAAGGCCTCTGCTATGGTGTTTATACAATAAAGCAGGGCTCATCAAACACATCCTCCTCCTCTTTTTTAGCTGAGTGAATATAGATTAGGGAAAAGTGAGGGACCCCGAGAATGGGAAGGACTCCAAGGGAGGAACACCCTCATTAAACATTTCTTTAAACTTCAACGCTTAATGCACTGTCATGTTTCCCCTAGGGTCACCTGGAAACATTTTTACTGTTCCCAAACATTAAGGCCTCTGGGCATACGAGCTGATAAACAGGAGCAAAGGGTAGAGGTTTCTAGGCCTCGGGGATGGAGACGGACGTGAGAGAATGGTATTATGTAAGAGTCTCCAAAATAGAATTAGTGCTGTATTATTTAGAAGTCTGAGATTAGGGTTATTAAATGTAATGAGGGCCCTTCATTAAGGCAGCCCAATAATGAGGCTGAGGACAAGCTTGAGCTGCCGCAGTGATTAGAGGGTTAGGGTCGAGCTGATTTTGCTGTTCTGGGCTAATGCCGGGGCAAGTGCTGGTGCCGGAAGCAGAAGGAAAAGGTTTGGAGCTGCTGCTTTTGACATGAAAAGCTAGGTTAGGGCCCCAGAGGTTCTTACATGTCCCATGAAGAATAAGCATCATTCATGGCACTGGTGCCCATCTAAGAAACTCCGTGTTGTGCCTTCTCAGAACATTGAAATCCAGTACTAGAACTAAGCCAGGAGCACAGTGAGGCAAAGCAAAAGTACAATTTTTTTTCAGGGTTTCCCTGTGTCCTTGGCTGTGTCCTTGCTGTGTAGACCAGGATGGCCTTGAACTCACAGACCTCCTCCTGCCTCAGCTTCCCAATGCTCATCATCATGGTTATTGATTTTTGCAGTGCTGAGACTCGAACCCACAAAGTCCTAGCCCCAGGTTTCTTGCCAGGATCACCTTCTGTGTGCAATGTTTTCATGGGGTACTTTTAAACATTTGCAAAACTTCCAGGAGTTCAAACTCAGGGTGGGAAACCAGTGTAGACATGTGTCCGGTTTGGAATGATTCCGCTTAAGTTAATTGGTGAATTGAGGCTTCTCACTGGGGCTAGAAGGGGACTAGTGGTACCATTGGGCAAGACTAGGATCTGGGAATATGGATCCTGCCCTCCTGGGTGCCAATCCTGGCTCAGACATTGAGTGGAGAGATGGTTCTTGAACTCTGAGTCTCTGCTTCTGAAAAAGTCTCTGCTTCTGTTTCATAATGTTACAAGGATTAAATGGATCAAAGGGTGTAATTTACTGTAAGTCGTCTATGGAATATCACAAGTCATATATACATACTTTATATTAACTATGACACTGATTACATTCTGGAGCAGCTTATCCAAGGTGAGGTCTTAAGTGAGGTGCTTGTATAGAGATGCAGTTCCACATGACACCAGTAGATGGCACAAAACCCCCAGTGTTCAAATTATGCTGCCAGACTAAATGGGAGACATTTCCTTTTCTGACCAAGTTATGGGCATTGATGACGACTACGGCTGACCTTCAGGTTGCTCTCCAAGGCTTCAAAAGCCTGAGATACTGGGACATTTGATTATGGTGTAAGAGCAAAGCATGCATGTGGGAATGGTATGATTGGAAGTCTCGGCCCCTAGATTTTAGACACACACCCTAACGGTGTTCTGAGGTGAGTTTCTAAACTTAGTTTCAATTTCCTCTCTCCGTTGCTAATAAAACAACGGTGGGGGGGGGCGGATAAAACAGGAGGAGAATGAATGTAAAAGAGTAAAAAAAGTCCAAAGAAGCTCAAAGGAGATGCAGTGAGTTTGTGGTGGGGATGAGAAAATTGGAGATGAAAAATACTGACAAGGGGCTGGAGAGCCGGCTCAGCGGTTAGAGCACTGGCTGCTCTGGCAGAGGACCCGGGTTCGATTCCCAGCACCCACAACCGTCCTAACTCCAGTTCCAGGGGATCCGACACCCTCTTCTGACCTTCGTAGCCATTGCACGACATAGGTACACTTACAAACATGCAGGCAAAACACTCATACACGTAAAATAGATAAATAAAATATTAAAAATAGTGACAAGGGTCCAGAAAGATGGCTCAGGGGTTCAGAGAACTGGCTGCTCTTCGAGCGGCTCTGAGTTCTATTCCCAGCAACCACATCAGGCAGCTCACAATTCCAGCTCCAGGGGATTCGATGCCCTTGTGTGGCCTTTGCACACACATGCGTTGCGTTCTCTCTTTGCCTCTGTCTGTCTCTGTTTCTTTCTCACAGAGACGTAAAAAAATAAGGATAAAATCTCTTTTAAAAAGTGACACTTACAAAGGGATTAGAAAGGGAAATGAGGTTAGGGGTGTGATTACGGAGGCAAACTGACAAAACTAAAATAGACATTACATTTGATTTACATAGTTCTGTCTCACTTGACTTGTGTGGTCCCTGAACCTTTAGTCTCTGTGATGTACACACGGCTGGCATCCATTATGGTGGGAAGATAGAAGAGAGGGAGGAGAATGCAAACACAGCTCAAGGCCAGCAGCATCTCCATGAAGGTTTCAAGCACACCAAGAAGCAGTCAGCTGGGCTCCACTTCCTTCCCCAGCAGCCTCCAGAACGCCCTCTTTACCTCCTTGTTCCTCAGGGTGTATACAAGAGGGTTTAGCGTAGGAGTGCCCACCGCATAGAAGAGACCAAAGAACTTGCCCCGCTCACGAGCATAGGGATTTTTGGGCTGCAGATAGACAGCAATGACTGAGCTGTAGAAGAAGGTGACCACAATGAGGTGGGAGGAACAGATCCCCAAAGCCTTTTTCCATGCCTCTGCTGAGTTCATCCTCAGCACTGCCCGGGCTATGGCAGCATAGGAGACAAGGATGAGGCTCAGAGGAACAACCAAGATGACAACACTGGCAACAGCCATTAGGGTCTCATTGTAGGTGGTGTCCCCACAGGAGAGTCGAATTAAAGCAGGAACCTCACACACAAAGTCATCCACCTGATGGTGGGCACAGAAGGGCAGGCGGAGGGTGGGAGGTGTTTGAATCACTGACTCCAGCAAGCCAATGATCCAGGCCACAGCTGCCAGCTGCCGGCACAGGCGGGGGTGGATGATGGTGGCATAGTGCAGGGGCTGGCACACAGCCACATAGCGGTCAAAGGCCATCACTGTCAGGAGGATGCATTCAGTGGTCCCCAGTAAAAAGAAGATGAAGAGCTGGACAGAGCAGCCCAGGAAGCTGATGGTCTTTGTGGGGCCCCAGAGGTTGACCAGCATCTGGGGGACACAGGTGGTGGTGAAGCAGAGGTCCAAGAAGGAGAGGTTGGAGAGGAAGAAGTACATTGGGGAGTGGAGCCTGGGGTCCAGCGTGGCCAGCAGGAGGATGAGTGTGTTTCCCAGGAGGGTGAGGAGGTAGCAGCACAGGACGACCACAAAGAGAACCTTTTCCAGGTGTGGGTGTTCGGAGAAGCCCAGGAGGAGGAAGCCCACTGTGGAGCTCTGGTTGACCATGGCCTTTCCTGTCCAGGTGGAGGGAGGAGGCTGTCAGACAATGTTCCCCAAGCTGTCTTGTAAAAGCTCACCCTGGGTGCTTGTCAGGACGTGCTGGGTGGATGTTTTTCTCTCTCTCCCAGGCTTCTCACCCAGAAGCTCCTTCCTTTCCTGCTCCTCCTGGTCAAATGTTGTCTAATGTCCATGAGGAAGCCAGGACCATGTTGGAGAATGGGTGGATCGTCACACTGTGCCTCTGACTTTCTGGTTGAAGACAAAGAAGGTGGATGTCAGATAGGAATTAACTTCATTCATTCATTCAGTAAAAAATCTGTTGAGTGCCCTATGTTCAGAGTGGTTTTCTAATTGTGTGTTATGCCTTGTTTATTTCTTGGAGGGGGCTGGAGAGATGACCCTGTAGTTAAGAGCACTGGCTGTCCTTGCAGAGGACCTGGGTTTGGTTCTCAGCACCAACATGGTGGCTCGCAAATGTCTTTAAATTCCAATTCCAGGAAACCTGATGCCCTCTTCTGGCCTCCTTGGGCAGTGCATGCACAAGTGTGCTTACATAATGCAGGTAAACACTCATATACATAAAATAAAAATAACTTAAAAATACCTCTCAGGAAAAGTAGCTAGTAATGTGTTTTAGGACTGTGGGTGTAGCTTAGTGGTAGGGCATGACCTAAAAGGAACTTTTGGAAGTATAGCTTAAAAAAAAACAAACAAAAAGAGCCCATTCAAAACTGGGTGTGGTGCACACCTTTAATCCCAGCACTTGGGAGGCAGAGGCAGATGGATTCTCTGTGAGATCAAGGCCAGCCTGATCTACTGAGTTCCAGTTAGTTGGGGCTACACAGGGAGACCCATCTCAAAAAGACTGAAAAAGAATCAAGGTAGAACACTCATATACATAAAATAAAAATAAATAAATGCCCCGTGCAAAAGAAACCAGCAGTGTAAATGAGAGTAAAGGTCTACAGAGTGAAGGAAGTTTTGGGGAGAACTTTATCTGGGAAAACTTCCTTGACTAGCTGACTAAAGGTATTGTTTCAGTACATCTTGTCATAGCTGGGGGTGAGACGCTGCAGTCACTGTGGAATCTGAACTAAAGACTCAGTGTTCTCTGGTCTGGAAGATTTCAAAAAGGCCATGGTTGGGTGGGGGCCCTGGTAAGACGGTGAGATTTCTGCCCAAAGGGCTCTAGCAAGGTCATCTTGCAGTCATGGGGTTTCATCACATCACCACCACTACAATCATCATTATAATTATTATTGTTGTTTTGAAACAAGGTAACAGGCAGTCCAGGCTGGTCTGGAACTCACCTATGTAGCTGAGACTGGCACTGATCCCTTGATCCTCCTGCCTCTGCCTCCCAGGTGTGGGATTACAGGTGTGCACCACCATGCCCAACATATCTCCCTTTCCACAAGGCTCTTCTGTTTCACTCTTTTTCTTTGGTCTTTCTCAGCCTCTCTTTATGTTTTTCCCCCCTTATAGAATTTTTTTCTTATATAATTTTTAAATTTAATTTTTAAAAATTTATTTATTATTTTTATTTTATGTGTATGTGTGTGTTGCCTGCATGTAGGTAAGTGCACCCATGTTGTGCAATGCCCGCGGAGGTCAGCAGAGGCGGTTGGATCCTCTGGGACTGGAGTTACAAACAGTTGTTAACTGCCATGTGGGTGCTTGGATTCGAACCCTGGTCCTCTGCAAGAACAACCAGTATTCTTAACCACTGAGCCATCTCCCCAGCCCCTCTATTATAATATTTATGGAATAATTTTTAAATGATATTGTATATTCAAACAAAAGTATGAATAAAGTTAATGTATACAGTGCAAAGAATAATAAACTCAATTCCATTATGTCCCCAAGTAAGGTTAAGGAACTAAAGAAGTATTTAGTGTCTTAGAAGGTCTGTTTGATGTCTTAGTTTCCTGTCCTCAAAGATGGAACTATCATTTGAACTGATCATATTTCTATTCCTTCCTTCTTTCCTTCCTCCCTCCCTCCTCCCTCTTTCCTTCCTTCCTTCCTTCCTTCCTTCCTTCCTTCCTTCCTTCCTCCCTCCCTCCCTCC